AGCCATGGCCGCTGAGCCTGCGCGTCCGGAGCCTGTGCTCCGCAACGGGAGAGGCCACAAAAGTGAGAGGCCCGCGAACCGAAAAAAAAAAAAAAAGTAAAAAAAAAATGATGGCTTAGATATACACTGGTTGACATAGAAAGATATTCTCAATGTATTGGATTGAGTTATTTAAACAGCATGTTATAAAACACTATAAATATTCAAATGTTCTAATCTATTTTACAATGTCTTCATTACTTTTTAGTTACTTTTGTAATAAAATAACTAGTCGTATTGTGGATAATAGATAAATGAGCAAAGTACTGAGATAATTCACAAATGAAGAAATAAAAATGGCCAATAGGGACTTCCCTGGTGGCACAGTGGTTAAGAATCCACCTGCCAATGCACGGGACACAGGTTCGTGCCCCGGTCCGGTAAGATCCCACATGCTGCAGAGCGGCTGGGCCCGTGAGCCATGGCCGCTGAGCCTGCGCGTCCGGAGCCTGTGCTCCGCAACGGGAGAGGCCACAACAGTGAGAGGCCCGCGTACCACAAAAAAAAAAAAAAAGATTACCCTAACTGCTGTGGGAGATTGGATTGCAGGGGGACAAGGTGGGAGGTAGAGCAGAGACTCAGATGAGAAGTGACATGAGCTGGCTTATGGGGGAAGCACTGAGGAAGGAGAGAGGTGTCTGGACTCGGGGTACATCAGTGGTTTTTGGTGAGAGTCTATGTGGAGAGTGAGGTAGGGAGAACTTGAGGGTGACTCCCAGGTTTCTGGCTTGAGCAACTAACCAGTGGTGCCATTTATTGATGGGGAAGCCAAGAGAAGAAACAAGAGGGAAGGCATGTGGACAATGGGTTCAGACTTTGAATGGAGACCCTCTAGAGGCTTCTGAAGGACAGAGATCTGAATGACCCACAACAGTGGGGTTCCCTCTCACCTCCCCAGTCCTTTGCTTCCTAGCTTGCCCTTCAGCTTTTCTGCAAGTCTAACTTCCACTCCCGCTGTGCTTGGGAGTGCATGCCAGTCAAGTTTGGAGAGAGAATACTGTCATTCATTCTCAATTCCCTTTAACTGCCTAAATTCCTGAAATTCTACCACTAAATTTATACTATACTCCTATGCATTGAGCACCCACTATGGGTCAGACACTGTGCTGGAAGCTTTAGCTACATTATTTCATCCAATCTGGCTAACCACTCTTTCCATAGTATTAATGTAACAATACAAATAGTGACCACTTAATGACAACTCTCTTGAGCTAAGCCCTTTACATGAACTGTCATATTTAAATTACACTGAGAAATAACCTGCCCAGGGTCGCACAGCCACTTAGTATTGAAACTGGGATGAGTAATCTAGGATTGTCTCCAGTACGCCAGGCTCTGTGAGGGGGATGAGCACTTCATGAGGAGCACGTGACTGATGGAGAGGACAGCCATCCGGATGCCTGTCCCCTCTCCCTCACTCATTCTGTCCCAGATGAAGCATAGAAACAGCAGTATCCCCCCAGATTTACCTGGGTGCAGAGGGCAGGCGCTCCTGATGACAACCCCAGGGCCTGCACCGCCCGTTTGTCGGGGAATGAACAGTTATTATAGGAGCTACCAGACCCTTACCGTGGTTGCCTGGTATCATTGGAGGGAAGTGCCCACTCACATGATGAGGCGTCCTGTTCTGTGACACAAAGCCTCCCCCACACTCTAAGAATGGCTTGGGCGTTTGTGTATGTGTGTGTGCATTTGTGCAGGAACTGGTACAAAAAGGGCCAGGTGACTTGCACACATGTGCAAGCCGGAATAGACCTGCCTCCCATGCATTTCCCTCAGGATATGTGTGTGTGTGTGTGTGTGTGTGTGTGTGTGAGGTATCTGGCTGTCTAGGCCCTCACAAAGGCAAATAATCTGTACATTTCTTCATGCCCGTGACTGTGAGTGGAGTTCATGCAGGATGGAAAGGGCCTGGCCCCAGAGTTGAGTTCTGAGCTCAGTTCCCACCTCTTCCTGCCTGTCTCCAGCTGCCTGCATCCCCTTCCACCTCCCCCCTTGCCGGGGCAGAATGCCCTCAGCCTGTGCCGGCTGGCACACATGCCACATGGTGACTGGAGCACGTCTGGGCAAGGAAGACGCCCCCCAGGCCCGGCTGGGATACTAAGCCACCCGCTCCCTCCCCCACCTCCAGAACGGAGCGTCCCCATCCCGTCCCCTTTCTCAGCCAGGGACACAGGCAGCAGGCGGGGACACAGCACAGACAGATACAAACACACAGATGCACCCGGAAATGCCCACAGGCGTGTGCCCCAGAGAGGCACAGACACGGGCTTCACACAGGCTTGGGTACACTCACATACACACACACACGCACAATCACACACGCCGAAAGAAACTCGTGGGCAGTCACCACTTGCACAGATCCCGGCAGGCAGAAGTAGACCCGCTAGGGTCCGGCCCCGCCCGTCAGGCAAACCCACCCAGTGCCTCTGTCCGTGGTTCTGAAAACAGACAGACCTCTTTACAGAAGAAAGAGATGGAAAGAGACTTGGGATAGGTAATGGACAAGAAAGGAGGAATGGAGGAGAGAGAAGAGAAGGGAGGGGGAAATCCACAGATAAAGGGGAGAGAGTGAGAGAGAGAGAGAGAGAGAGAGAGAGAGAGAGAGAGAGAGAGTTTAGAAGATACCAGGAGAAACAAAATATTGTGAACACTGGGACAAGGAGAGGGAGGTGATAATGGAAGGTGATCTCAGTCCCCCATTCCTGCCCAAGTGCAGTATCAGGCTCAAGGATTTATCTGTCTTTGCCTTTCAGGGCCAAGAATGAAAAGAGTTTGGTAGGGGTACAATGGCATGTTAGGGACCCTGGATGTGTGGTTTCTGTTGACCCCCAGTTGTCTTTTTCAGGGTGTCTTCTTGCCCTGGAGGATCTTAAAACAGTATAGTAAGGAGAGAGACACCAGGGAAACCCAATAATGACCCTGCAAATAGCTCCCCACATGATTTCTTATCCAAAATGGTGTTGGGCAAGTGGACAACAATGTTGATCTGGATTTGTTCCGGGGATTGCAGGGATTTAGTGACTGCTTAATTTTATCCACAAGATTGGATTGTGGTTTCCTATCTCCCTCTCTTGAGATAAAAGCTTCCCTCTGGTAGGATTGCCTAGTAAGAATGGATCTCCCACCAGCAGCCTCTTAGTTGTGAAATTTATGGAACACGAGTAATGCCCACTTTCCTGATTGGGAGGGGAGGATTTCAAGGACCAAAAGGCTTACCATATAACTAGGCAAGAGAGAATGAAGGGGGAAATGAGAGAGAGAAAAAAGAAGAAAGGGGAAGAGAAAGAATTGTGAAGATAGACAGAGGATGAAAGAAGGAAGGGAAGAGGAAAGAGATTGGAGAATGAGGAAGGGGGAGGGTGGAGATGCAGATGGCAGGAGTGCGAGAGGGCATGAATGACCCAGACAGACTACAGTGTCCAGCGAAAGGGCAGAGGAAGAATGCCAGGTGGAGCAAATTGCTTCTCTCGAGCTTCCTAGAGGCCCAGATTAGACTGGAAGTCCTGGAGCTGTTCACAGTGGCATCGTTCACCCAGAGCTTCAAGCCAAAGACCCCATGGGCCAAGACTATGGATGTGAGAAGAAGCTGCCCTAGCAAACAGGGTGGGTGAGGTCAGATGCAATCAAATCTGCCTGTGTGGTTTCCCCGTGGGTGGGATGGGAAGGGTGGGTGCTCCCTTGGGGGTATTTCCACCTATTTGCACCAGTGGCAGGAAGAGAAAGCAACATGTGTGGATGATCACTGGAGAGTGGATATTTGACTTAGGATGAGAAGCGGGCAGAGGAAGAAGAGAAGCAGAAGCAGAGTAAGTGGAAGAGAAAGGATACTGGATCTCCTAAAGTTTTTTGTTTTTTGTTTGTTTTTTCCTAAAGTTTTTTTGACCTCGTAATTATTCTTTCTTTTTTTCCTATCAAGAGGGAAGAAGCCACCCTAGGATACAAGCTGGGCAAAATATGTGTCCTTACCTATAGTATAGGTATAACCAGAGTCCCAAATTCATAGGGTGGTTGAGATGATCGTCAGGTCATGTACAATGCTTGTCAGTTACTGATACATAATGAACTCCAAACATATGCTAGTTTCCATGTTGTTGCTGCATCTTGGTCTTGCACTAGGATCAGCTGAGAAATCTTTCATCTATGACTAGACCTTCTTGCTACAGTCTCAGGTCCACCTTTGGGCACTGTGATTTTCCCAGCTTTTCAAATTTACTCCTGAAGAGAAAGAGCCAGGAGGTTTGCTGGGGTACAGAGGGGGAACCTCATGGTCCAGGGAACAGGGCACCCATCAGGGGCCATTAAGGATGTCTTCCTGGATTCCTGAAAAAGCTGGACCCTGGACCTACATCAGTGTTTCTCTGCCCAGACTGGAGCCTCAGCACCCCACCCTATTCAGTGCCGGTGCCTCGGTCCTGCTCAAGCCTGTACGGATGTGGACATGTGGGGCATTTCTTCCAGACTGCTCTCCCAACCTCGATTCCTTTGCCTTTTTTCTACCTACCCCTCACCTTCTTTCTTCTCAGGAATCTAGTTGGGAGAAAAGGAATTCCCTCACTATTTAGAGGTGTGGGATTTCCCCACCCTTCACAGGCCAAACGGATGGCCTCATTCTGGAGGTCAAGGAAGCATGTGGGGGCTGGTACAAGGAGGGGTGAGGGGTGGCAGGGCAGCCCCCATGTCCTCCCATTCCCCCCAGCTCCTGTCTCATCACTGTCACTATTCAATCATAGCAGATGGGCTGCAGCTGTGAGCGCCAGCCCGGCACACAGGCTGGTCCGTGCCGCTTGGGAGAGAAGGAAGAGAAAGGGAGGGAGGGAGGGAAGGAGGAGGGATGAAAGGAGGAGGGAGAGAGGAAAGGGAAGAAGAGGAGGAGGAGGAAAAGGAAGAGAGTAGAGGAGGAGAGAGATGACTTGAAGAGAAAGAAGACTTGGTACCTTTTATGCCTCTCCCATCCCAGCGGGAGAGCAGAGGCCAGGACTGGGCTCACAAGCTGGGCAGTGCCAGGCAAGATGGGCATATGCCCTTGATTACTACCAGGACTGCAGGCCAAGCCTCCGCAGCCACCACGGCCTCATAAATCAGTTTTTAAGTAGCAACCACATGGACATTTCCCAGCTGAGAGGCCTGGCCTCTGTTAGCCCAGCTAGGGCAGCCCAGGTGGAGGGGCAGGTGCCAGGTCAAGGCAGGGAGAGAGAGAGGTTGTCATCAAGGCTTGATGCGCAATGGGGTTGGAACTTGTTCAGGGAAAACCTGGGGGCAGGGGCTCCCACCAGTAAGGAGTAGGTAAGAAGGTGACAAGTGCCTGGCAGTGGGTCCAGAGCCCCCCGTTGGGGCTCCTAGACGCTGCCCTGGGTTCCCCTGGGGGAAGAGGAGGATGGTGCTGCCACTGGAACCTCCTCCCTCCAGGTCTCCCTCCCACTAGGAATCTATGTGAGCGTGAGCGTCAGGGCAGTGTGAGGGCCTGTGCACTTGGGTATCTGAATGTGCTCACAGCTCCTGTTGGGTAAGAAGGTATGTCCCCACTATCTAGCCCAGGCCCAGCACAGACCAAGTATCTGTAAAACTGCTTGAATGAATAAGTGATTGAGTGTGAAGGGGGCCAGTTATGCATGTTTACAAGAAGGGGAGCATTCATATCTGAGTGTGTATGATCTCTGAGTTGTGTGTATGTGTGTTTGTGGAGGGTGTCTGTGGGTGTTCTGAGGAGATCTAGCCTGACAGACATCCTTCCACATCCTCCTTTGCAGGATCTCCACCCCACACAGCCCTCCTGGGCCCTGATTCTCCCCTTCTGAGGACCCACCAGTAGCACAGCAGCTCCTGAATTTCACACCCCCAGTCCGATCCCCAGATCGGCGCCCCCCTCCTCCTCCCTGTGCAGGCCAGCGTTGGTGGCTGGGGATGGGGGCTTGGCTGAGGATGCGGGGGGGTCGGGAGTCCCGCCCCTGGAACCGCGGGCAGAACCGCGGGTGGGGCGCCCAGCCTTCCTGCGCCCGGTGCCTCTTCCCTGGGTGAACAGATGTCTCGGAATTTTAGATGTGCTCTCCGCCCCTCCTCGCAATAACCCCCACCCCCACCCCAAGCTGGCACCGGCTGTGGTGTGGCGCCCTCCCTTCCCCCACCTCCGACAGCAGAACCGGCTGATGGATCGGGGAGCGCGGCCGGAGGCCTGGGCCGAGGGGCGGCGGAGGCCCGCGGGGTCGCGGCAGCGGGCTGGGCCGAGTCTCGGAGGCTCCTGGCGCAGAGGGAACCGGGGACGGTGCGGCTCGGCCTCTTGCCTTCTCTCGTTTCTTCCCTTCTGCCGCAGCTCCTCAGCCCCGTCTCTCTTCGGTCCTCTGTCCGCGATCTACGGTCTCTCTGCCCCACCCCACAGCCCAGCCGCGTCTATGCAGACCCCCTCCGCACAGAGCCTCCCGCTTCGAGACAGAAACACCTCCTGGCAACTTCGGCGGAATTCTTCCCTCCAGAGACCCCTTTCCCTGCATTCCGCGAGCCACCCCATCCCCAGCTGGCCGCCCGCCCGCCCTCAGTAGAAACCCGGAGCTTATCCGGAGAACATGGAGGGAGGGGAGGAGGGGAGGAGGCTCCAGATTAGGGAGGCTGACGAGGCCGGTCGGCCCGGGCTGAGAGACACCCAAATTCTCTAACCGCTGCTAATTAATGAGCAATCCAATTCCGTGGACCCCCAACTCGGGGAAGGCGGGCGGGACCCGCTGAGGGCAGGCGGGGGCCTTGGCAGGGCTCGGCAGCCGGGTGGTGCCAGGCGCCCTCCCCCACCCCACCCCCACCCGCCAGCATTCCGAGGTAACAGGCATTTGTTACCCAGCTCGTGCCAGGAGCGATTGGCAGGTTCGAGTAGGCACAGTCATTCCGCACACAGATGTCCCTGTGCTCACTCTTCTGATATGAATTCTGTCAGCTCCAAATCTGAGGGAGATGAGCAGACAGCCACACAGACAGTTACAGACACAGACACAGACAGTGCAATTGTCTGGAGGACACAGAACTCCACAGATATTTTTCTTCCCTGAAAAAAAAATTGAATGGAAGAAAAATAAGAAAGGCTCCCACTAATTTGGGGAGACGTGTCTGAACCCCTGAGAGTGGCCCTCACTCCTTCCATCCTCCCTGGGTTGCCTGCCCAGACTCTTCCAGCCTCCCCCAGCACCCTACAACAGCATCCCTGAACTTCAAATCATTGCAACTAGAGTTGTTGCAACCAGAGCTCCAGAGTTGAAGCCTGGGAGGTCTGCTCCCTGACCCAGAACCCAGAATTTCTGAACCCCTGCAAAGCTCTAGAATATCACCAAGGTGTAGGTTCCAGTCGTCTAGAATCTCTGAAATTAAAAATTCCACAACTCCCACTCCAGGGCAAATTGTGCCCAGTGCCCAATCTTTGGATCACCTTCTCCATTAGAGAGGGGGACCTGGGCACTGTCTGGTGCCCTGGATTGGAGGACCCCGCATGCCTGGTACTCACCGGCTGTCCCCAGCCTTGGCAACCAGCCGCAAATGCAGCCTGCCCTTTGACTTAGGAATGTGGAAAGGTCAGGCCCCCTGACTCCTGCCCCTTTCTGGCACTCTTTTCCCAGCTCCAGTTCCCATCCTGACCCTCCACACCAAGGTGGACTTGGCTATTCCACCTTTGCCTGCCCGCCCCGCCCCCCCTCCCCGCGGCTGGGGGAGCGACCTGGTTGGTCACTGGGCATCTGTGAGCAGAGCGGGCATGAAGAGCCACTGGGGTTTTGTTCTCCCTGGGCAGCCCATGCTGGTGGAAGAAGGGGAGGCAGGCAAAGGGGGCAAAGAAACTCCACAATGTCGGAGGAGAGGGCACAGAAGGGTTTGGGTTGTGGTTTGTTGGATTGTTTTTTAAATTTTTTCTTTCTTTCTTTTTTAAAGCAAAAGCCCCCATCCTGTGTCATCATTTTTATGGGATCTGCAATTCTGGCAAAAATCTGTCTTTAATTTAGCTGTCCATATAAAACTCCTCACTGTATAATAATGAACAGATGCCATGGAATTTAAGCTGGAGCCTCAGCTCCTCCCCGCTTTCCCCCCGCGCCTGGCACCGGGCACCGGGCACCGGCTGAGTGGCACAGACTGGCACCAACGCGCGAGCGAAGGGTGGGCAGGGGGCGACTTGGGATCAGCGCCAGGGCGCTGGGGTGGTGAAGAGGTGTCCAGGCGCCGGGCTTAGCCAGCCGGGAGCTTTTCTCGTGGAGGCACCAAGGGAGAAGTGTTTGAGGAATTTTTCTGTCTTTTGCTACAAAGAGATCAGTAGTTAAGGATTTTGTTTTGGTTTTGCTTAGGGGCTGTGTGGTTCTTCTCAGATTTTTTTAAAAAGCACCGCTCTCCCCCCAATATAAACCCAAGTGTTTTCGCTGTTTTAACTGAGTTGTTTTGAACCCACCCCCTGCGCGGCGCCCCGGCCTCTGCCTCCGAGCCCAGCCGAGCGCTCGTTCGCTGCAAGCGGGATCCGTTCCACAGCCGGCCGGCCCACGGAATCCTGGGCGCCGGCGCCCCCGGGGACTCCCGGGCACCTCCCGCAGGGCAGGAGTACCCTGTTGCCCACCAGGAGTGAGGCTGGATGTGGCATCTGAGTAAGCAGCAGGAGAGATGAAGGCAAGAGTGAAATCCCTACTTGCCCCACACGATTCGCTCGCTTTTCCCAAGGGGAAAGAAAAAACTCTGCGAGTCCAGTGTCCCCTGCTGCCTCCGCCTGTGGTCGAGAAAGCAGGCATCGACTCGGGATTGAGGGGTTGGTTCTGAGCACCACCACCACCACCCCGCCCACCTCTCGCCTTTAATGCGACTCTGGCGAGAACAGATGTCCCAAGCCGGGCGGACTGCCCAGACCCCGCCCAGCTGTGCCCTTGGCGAAGACTTGGCTGAGGGTAGGAACTGGCACGCGGGTCCCCAAAGGGGTTTGGGGGCTCCCTCGGCCCTGGCGGACCTGACTTCGCAGCCTTGGCCTCCTGGCTAGCACAGCCTCAGGCGGGAAGTGGAAGCGCCCCAGAAAGACCTGTTCCTAATTCAATTAATTCCGAAAAGAGGAATGAGACGCAGACAGAAGTGGAGAGAAGCCCAGAGAAAGGTTCGAATAACGGAACACCGGGCACACGCTCTCGGCTCTGGAACCCTGCAACCGCAGTCCGCCTGGGAGGCTGCGCTGGAGTGGGCAGGCAAGTGGGCAGCAGCAGAGCACATCCAGGCACACATCTGGGCAGCGTCTCCACCCAACGCAGTGCCCCAGCTCCTTTGGCACAGGCAGCATCTAGGGGTTCCCTCACCCTCTCCCCCGCCCCGAGTGCCCCAGCTTCCCCTCCCCGCACTAGGGGGCTGAGGTTCCCATTCAGTGGCATCTGCCCCCAGAAACAGGTTGCCCTCCTGCTTGTGAACCCAGGCTTGGTCTGGGCGTTCTCATGCTGGCACTCCTGAGCGGGTGGGGTGCTCCTACCCCATTGCTTTAGGGTGGAGAAAATTTCAGAGAGCAATAACGACCCTCCCAAGGTGTCTGTGCCCTTTCTTACCACTTCTCAACCAGGAAAACTTTGTCCAGAATTTTAAAAGAATGAGGAATAGAAAGGCAGAAGCCACTTCAGGATTTGGAAAAGGAACAGGCTTTCAAGACTTTTCACCGCTCAGGTCGTCACCTCCCCTCTGGGCCTGTGGCCAGTGCCTGGGCACCCAGCCCTAAAGAAAGAAAAGTGACAGTGTCTTGGGCTGTGAGCTGAGAAGCCTGTTGTGAAAGCCAAGGCCCGTCTGCCCCCTCCTACATCTCACCAAAAGAAAAAGCTTTCTCCTTTGAGCACATATGGGCAAGTCAGGTGTGGAATCCTGTGCTCACCCTTGTTGTCACACGGGGGGCCTGGGAGTGGATGTCAAGGCCAGGGCTGGTCAGGCCTGGCCTCCACTGTCTCTTTCTTCCTGCCTTCCTTGAGAATTAAACTGTGGAATCTAGAACTATCCCTCCGTCTCAATGTTCCCTCAAATCAACAGATTCCTCCAAGGAGCAGGCAACTTCAGGTTAAAGATTTTGGGGAAGAGGAGGAAGAAAATGTTGCCCGAGAGGGAATGAAACCTCTGACCTCTGAGGGGGAATCCTTTTGCATCTCCCTTCTTGTGGACTTTCCCGTAAAAGGGAAAAAGAGAGAAGTAAACACAAGACAGTGGAGTCTGGGGTGTTTCAGGACTTCCCTGTCGCTGACTCCAATGGGGCTCAGTTTCCCTGGATTGTACTCAGTGATTTATGGAGCTGTCCTGGGTGATGAAATCAGAGCTGAGGGTTCACTGGAGGTTCACTGGGGGGTCAGGGTCCAGATCCTGGCTGAAATAGGGTTAAACGGAGAGGGGAGAATCAGTAGTGTTTTCCCTCTCTTTCCCCTGATGTACAAATGACCTGGACTCAGAGACATCTCTATTTCCCAGTCATTTCCAAACGCTGGACTTTGAACGGGGGTGGGAAAGTCAAGAGGAGGATGCCCTCCGGATTGATCTCGGGCTCCAGCCTTCGGTTTGGCAGCCCAGGGGTTGAGCTGAGACGGCTGGTTCCTGCTTGGAGATCCCGTTGCTCAGGCTCGGGCAAGAAGGGCATGCGACGTCTCCCCTTGGCCTCTCCCTCCCACCGCTCTGGCCCCTTTTTTCCTCCCCGCCCCCCAAAACACACCTCCTTCTGTTCCTGGAGCTTCTCCGTGTGTGCGCGCAGAAGTGGGAGAGCAGCGAAAGAAAAAGACCTGCGAGGGGGAGTTTGGGGCCGTGTGTCCGCGCGCATCTTCTTCTCCTGCTCATCTCGCCATCTCGCCAGGGAAGTTGAGTGTTGGGGAGGGGGGGCGATGGGAGAATAGAGCACAGCCGGAGTGCAGAGAGGTGGGGGAAGGGTCAGGAATTGGGAAAAGGGCGGCTCACGAGGACTCCGGTTTCACAAGATGCAGAGGCGCTAGGGATCCCCGCCCCAAAAGGACCCCGGGCACTCCGTCCGCCCGAAGTGACCACAGACGCAGCGGCCCAAGAGTCGTCAGCATCCTTGGAAAGGGCTGGGATCCAGCTTCAAAAACAGAATCGAGCCGCGTGGAAGAGCAGAGCGCAGGAGTCTATGGTTTGGCCCGGGGAGCCACGTGGAGGGGTCTTTTGCGTCGGGCCCCAAGCCACTTGGATGCCACCCAGCCCGGGACTTCAGAGGGCGTTCTGGGAAACCAGCTGAATGGGAGGGAATCCCAATTAACCTTGCTCTTAGGGCAGGAAAAGACTCAGGCCTCGGGACGTGTACCGAGTTCCTTTTCTCTCCAGTTGCCCCTGCCAGGCCATGACCCATGCCATGAGCAGACCTGACTCCTTCAGATTTGGGTCTGAGGTTCTCACATTGGTCCATACTCCATGCAAGAAGTGAGGGAGATTGAAGGTGGGCCGACTTCTTTCTCCTAAGAATAGGGGTGATTTAGAGGTCTATAAGAGCCCCCACCTTAGACCACCGACAGGGGCGAATCCTCAGAACGAAAGGCCCAGTTCTAAATCTCACGCGCGAGAAGCGATCCTACGAGAATTCCAGAGAACGCGGTGAAATTTGGAAAGGATTCCAGTGAAATT